ACCCCCTCCCCCCCTTTATTTGGATGACGTTTTTTATGGATGGCCCCTAAAGCATTTTTTTTTAAATTGATTTGCAATGATAATAAATTTTTTTAAGAAGTGCGTGATACGGATAACTTTAAAAAAAAATGAATTTACTTAAAGATGAGTTTGCGAAAGCAATTTAAACAGCGCCACAGTTCAAACAGCCAACTCAAACCTGTTTAAAACAAGGCTGCTTTAGGAAACAAACAAAAAAAGAACTAAATTAGGAAATCTTAAACCTTTATTCAATGCAATAGAAACCATTCCGCCAACAAATGTAGAGCCTGAAATCCTTTTTCTGCACCTGGATTACTTATGAAAAAATTTTGATTCATCGATTAACTACTTTCTTAATAAACTTTACTTTTTTAAAACTCATTTTTCATTAAGGAATAAATATTCAAGCTAAAACTATCGTGTTAATTTATACTTTATGTTACATTATATTGTATTTGTGTTATGTAATTATATTTTATGGTTTTTTATCTAAGCAATTTTTAAAATTTTTTATAATGATTTTACCGGTAAATTTTGCTCTTTTTTTTCACTTTTTTTTTTAATTTTTTTGTATTTTGATTATAAAAATAACGATCTGCATAAAGTAGTTTAAATATTGATTTACTCAAATGTAAATATAAGCATTTTTAATATTTTGTCCTTGTCCAAGTTAAACTATTTACACGACTTTTCATAACCTGAGACTGGGCACTAAAAGTTATTTATTGTGAACGCATTTTTAGTAGAATAAAAATAAATTAAAAAAAGAACTTATTTAAACGTCTTGTTAATTTTGTACTATCATTAGGATGAAGAATATCTCCAGTAGCATACTTTTGTCTTTTTAAATTTGGGATGAATTGGTTTGTCTGTTTGCTCAGAAAACGAAACTATTTATCTCTTAAGTAATTCAAATAAATTGCACAAGTTATACCTGTCATTAGGGCCCCAAAATTTTAAATATTTTTTCATTTGGTATTACTAAAAAAAAAAAAATCCTTACTTTGCAAATGAGCTCTCTAAATTCGCTGTTTCGCTGCCGATTTCGCTGTCTCGCTGCCCATGCTTGGAACAGTGGGGAAGAATTATACATAGCCAGAGCAGTGGGGGAGCCTAGCCACTGCTCTGGTTATATATATATATATATATATATATATATATATATATATATATATATATAAATATATATATATATATATATATATATATATATATATATATATATATATATATATATATATATATATATATATATATATATATATATTTCATAGCAACAAAAAAAAAAGAAAAATAACAAATACTTTCCATAAATATTTAATGATAAACAATATAAACAAGGTACTTAAAAACATTCCCAATGTTTTTAAGTATCTTGGGTTCATAGTTCTTGGAAAGAACAATTTAAATCATGTCCTGAATGTTTACTTTCTTATTATTATTGCCAATCGAAATTTCTGTTTAAACAAAGATTCTAAGACTAAATATTCGTTTTCAAGGAATTAATTGATATTGTTCCTGATGAGAAAGTTTGTTATGGACCTCATGTGTAGTTAAATCATAGCAACAAATGATTTATGGAATAACGTAAATTTGTGGCAATGGTATTTATACTACTTGGTGGAAGCTATATGTCATATAGCCACATGACTACATAATTTTCTTTTTTCCAATCTTGGAAAAAAGAAAATTATGAAATATTAAAATAGTATTATTTGATAAATATTAAAATATTAATATTTGGCCAAAATATTAATATTTGATGAACCAAGATTGGAAAAAAGATAATTAATTTTCTTTTTTCTAATCTTGTTTCATCAAATATTAATATTTTGGCCAAGAATTGTTCTCAAAACAAGGCATATATGCTATAAAATTACGCTTATAGAACGTCACGTTTAACTAGATTTATGTTCAATATATGTTTTGGATGGCTTAATAGTTATTTTTAAAATATTCAAAAGTTGCACAAAACTTTATTGGCGACCTATCATTAGGCAAAGTTCAGCATTAAAACCACTATTTACAAACACGAATATTATTTTATACAACGAATATTTTGTTACCCAGGGTACATAAGACGTATTGTAGATGTAAATTAAGAAGTCCAAGGTTGAACACCGGCTCTAGCCAAATAGATGACATTAATTAGGAAAGAGGCGTGAACATTCTAGTTCAGATGTGGGCTCGCAGCGGACCAGATCCGGCCCGCTACGAGTTTTGATTCAGCCCGCGAGACATTTTGAAAAATCCAATAAAATTTTTTTGAGCATTTCGAGGTCGGAATTAATGTGGTTGCTATTTATAAATACAGTAGTTTTAAGCACTTTGCATTTCTTGGTGTTGTTAAATAAAGCGTGTTAAAAACGTATATAATTAAAAAATTAATTTGTTTAGCTTTCTATCGATATATAGTTTGTTATACTTTCAAAGAGATTTACTATTTGAGTTTCAATTACTTTACAATCTTTATGAATAAATTGTATTACAATAGCGATGTCTTATTATTTCATGTCTGATATATATCGTTAAAAATAATGACTTACTTCATTAAAGTACTACTTTAAAATGCGGTACTTTTAAACGCGGCCCGCGAACGTGTTTGCACACTAAAGTTTGGCTCACACTATGTCAAAGGTTGCCCATACTTGTTCTAGTTAAATGTTCTTCCGCGGTGATAAGATTGTAAGACTTCTGGGAGCATTTAACTAACCAGTAAAAATAAAAAGACGTCTAAAAGTGTAATAAAAGTTATTTTTACGTTTCTAACGTTTCTTAGGCGTCTTAATTAAATCTTTCACCCAATGAGTACCCAGTTTTTGTTAGAATACCCATGCGTATTGTTAACGCAGGCATTCTAATAAAAAAAACTCGATAAGAATAGTTATGTGCCAAATCATATTCTTTTAGGCGTATTTTTTTTTAAATGTACAAATAAGGCCAATAACCCACAATATATAAGCAGGCATCCTAATTTTTTAAAAAATCACAAGTTTCTCAAACTCTGCAGAGTTTGAAAAACTTGTGATTTTTTAAACATGTTTATGCTAATAATTTGGACTTCAAACATCTTGACATTTTATAGAAACCTCAACTTTTCTTAGAAAACTATTCATCAAAAAACTATTCATAGATTTTGATAAAATGTTGTAACCCTTCCACTTGCAGGGTTACAACAATTTGGATAAGAAATCAAAAACTTATGACTTTAATAATGCTAATAACTTTTTAAAATAAAAACTTTATCAATTCTTATCCAAATGATGACAACTTGGTTTAAAGGCTTTGGAAATATAGGTTTTAAAAAATCCAATAAGGATATAAAAAGGTAGTGTAAAATCTAAAGGACATTATAATATAATGCATATGATTAATAAACACATAAAATTTGTATTGGTCTACAATATGATTCATATTGTAGACTTATATAATGCCCTTTATACTACCTTTTTATATCCTTATTGCAATATTCTTGGGAAATCTCCATTTTTTTTTAATACTTCCGGGGGTGTATTAGAGAGTATTAGAAAAAAACAGATTTTTAAGAGAATGTCCTTTTTAATGAATTTTTAGGTTTTATTTTTATATATAAGCAGTTTTTTCAGTTAAAGACTGAAAGAAGTGAAATCCAGGGCCATTCTAAAGAGATTCTAAAGGTGAGAGGAAGGGGTGGTGACCAAGATCTTTTAAAAAAAAAAGGTCCTGACAATAGATCCAATGACATTTGCCAACTATAGATCCAATTTTGCTGATGCCAGTGTCCAATATGCCGCCTAGTTAACTTAGTAGGGTAGGGGGCTAGGCTTTCTCAAGCCCCCCCCCCTTACCTTGGGACGCCTCTGATTTAATCACATTTTTATAAATTCAATTTTTGTTGTTGTTGCTTAAAACAAGATAAATAAAATTAAATTTATTTTTAACAATCTTACAGAAAAAGACGGATCCTGGGGGACGAGGGAGAAGGTAGGGGGTATAGGAATATGCATCCGAATCTGAAAGTTCTAAAATATCATGAAAATTCAGGGCCTTATTTTTTCAGGAGACAAATACAAAAATTCGTCATTGCTTACAATAATATAACAGATAAAAAAAGACTAATAACATATTTTGTTTATGTTAAAAAGTCTTTAATCTAAGTAAAAACAGAGTTTGTGAAAAAACGTTCAAAAGTTACAAACATAAGAACAATAAACTTTTTTTCACAATTTCAGTTTGCAATTGATGTTATATAAGTTGTCATATTTCAACAGAAAATTCGATCACTTTTATTTGAATTTATAAAGTGTTCTCTGTTTTGAAGCAAAAAATTGATCAAAATCCTAATTATTCAGAAACTTCAGACTTCAGATTTGCTAATACGAAATAGCTTATCCTTTTTTTTAGAAGGAAACATCAAAAATTTGATTTTGTGGACATGCTGTAGTACTTTTAAATCTCTAAGACTTTTTAAGTTACTTTCTAAGAATATTGCTCTTTTTTTATTCTCATTTTACATAAAACATGAAAATTGTGGTCATAGTTAATGTATATAATATATATGTTTTACTTCCTAAAAAAAATGTTAGACATTGACAACTATTTTTTCTTAACGAACATAAATGTTTTCCGGTTTGACTATCAATAGTTTTAATCTTATGCCTTTTATTTTTTTAAGTTTTAAATTGCATAAATATCTTTAAAAGACATTTAAAACAGCAAATAGAAAAGATAATCTTTTCTATTGCCCTTAGTTTTTTATAAGGTTGTAAAGATGTAGTAAAAGTTAACAAACATTTTAATAAATAGGGATTCCTCTAATCATATTAATATTTCTATAACTTATCAAATAGTATAATATTATTTTTTTTTATTGATTTTTGCTCCAAAGTAGGTGTTTATAATACAAATGTTGGTTGCAAGAATAGATTTTTTTTTCAACAATTTATGAAATGATTCAAATAAGTTTTCCTAGTTCAAAAAGGTTTTGGCTTATTTTATAGATTACAACTGAAGATTGCTACAAAACTGCAGACTGTTTTCTTCTTCCTGAGTACTGCACAAATAGTGACAACTGTGATGTTCTAGTGAAATACAATTTCGATTCAATCAGCAAAGTGATCTTTATTACACTAGCAACAAACGGAAAATGGGTTGGCTTTGCACAAACAAACAATTTAAATATGGCACAAAAAATGGTTTAAATGATTTTATACTTTATACTTATTTTTTTAGATTTCAAAAAGTATTTAAAAAATTTTTACTGATAGTTTTATCAATCATTTTGTAGCTATCTTTAAATACTATTTTTAGCAAAATATAAAAGGCGAGATTTGTTTCAACAATAATACAGTTGCAACGTTAGTCAATTTTCATGCATTGCGTAATACAAGACCTTTATTTTCTGCTGTAGTAAGTGGAATCAATGTTAAAGAAATGTATATATTGCCAAGTGGCAGTGTTGTTTGTAAATACAGTCGAAGTTTGTTTGCTTCTATTTCCAGTGAAGAATATATGTTTTCCCTTAATGAGACCGTTGATGTTGTCTATGCTCATGGAACCAGAGTAGGGGGTGATGGCTACCCTAGTTATCATGGAAAAATGAACCATAGTTATTACTCTGAAAAAGTTGACATGAAGAAAATACGTTCCAGAAGTGAGAGTTTGGTAAAAAAAAAAGCTTCATTTTTTTAATTTTTTAAAATTGAAATGTTGACCGATGAACTATTTTTGGTTTTTATTAGTGTGCGTGCGGATTCTCTAAATTCTTAAATGTAGTAGGTCACTACATTTAAGAATTTAAATTCTTAAATGTAGTAATGTAATTCTTAAATGTAGTAAATAAAATACTAAATAGTGTTTTATTCAGATGTATTTGAGAATTTTGCAAGATAAAATTGATTTGCCAATTAGTATTTTTCTAAATCTTTTAAATAAAATGATTATGTGGTCCTTTTTTTTCTTTTGAATAATATCATTACAAAATTACTTTCTCTTATTTCAATGTGTGGCATGGTGGCTGCAATCAAGTTAAAAAATGTGTTTTTTTTAAATTATTGCTAATTTTATTGACCATTTCTTACTTAATACCAAGTACATTCAAGATTTTTTGTAAATGATATTGTCTCAAAGTGCATTCTACCAGCAATTGAATTGATATTATAATCAACAAGCAGCAGCATTACTTCTTTATACTTATCATTTTCTAAAGTCTAGTGTAAAGAATAACATATAATAATTGAGAAAAGCATGCTTAATAGTTGCAATTTGCCATTAATCTCTACTTGTACAGGTAGTTGTTTTTAATTTTTTTTTTTTTTAATTGTTTTAAAGTTTAATATAGTTTTCCCATCAAAATGGATCTATATGGGCTATCATTTAAATATCTTCTTTTGAACTTTTGAAGTTTTTTTATTATCTTTTTTTATTTCTCTAATTGCAGTTGATAGAACTAATTTTATTGTGTCTACATCTACTATTGCAGCTCGAACAACTGCTATAGTATTGCTCTGCAAAGTTAAGTGAGAGGTTAACAATTGCCATGTTACTAAATTCTTCAGCTTCTTCAGGTGTCAGGTGTTCACCCACCTGGTTTAAAATCAAAATCAGAATTTTAGTTGGCAAGTCATTCTTCATTATACTTTTTTATTTCTTTATTTTAACTGATTTGATTTAATTAAAAAAAAAAATTTCAATTTTGAATATATATTGTTAGAGTAAGAAAGAGTATGAAAAATAAAAATTAAAAAAAAAAAAAACATTGGTTAAATCAAAGTAATTTTTCTCTAGATTTTTTAAATATTCTTTCTTGTTTTTATTTGTTTTCTTGTGTTTATATTGTTAATGATTAAAAATTTGTTTTAATCTAATGTTTAATTTTTTTAAACTGTTTAAGATCAACCTTTATTTTTAACTTTAGAGGGCATAATAGAATATACTGAGAAAAATAAAATTTTTTAAACTTTGTCTCAAAAAGTTTTCATGCTTTTTAATTTCGTTATTAATTTTAATTTTGATTGATTTTATTTATTGCATTGCTTATCAAAATAAACAATTAAGTTTTGTATTTCTTAACTCTTTTTTTTAAACTGTCAAAAGTTTTTAAAAATTGGTGCTCTTGAGTTCCTTTAACAAAATCTACAAATTTCTGCATAAAAATTCTATTTAAAAAACTATTTTGAAAAAACTATTATTTAAGTGTAAAACATTAGTTACATTTGAGTACCAAAAAACAAATTTATTGTTATTGCTTATAATTTTTGATGAAGTAAAAGAGTGTGAAATAGTGTGTAGTAATCATCGAGGCGGTTAAAGTAAAGGTTGTAGGGATTGATGATTTTTGAACCAAATTTATTATAATTTTTATACTTAAAAAAATATAAGTATTAATTATATGATAACAAAGAAAAGCAATTAAGTTTTATATTTAAAGATAAAAAGTAATTTTGTAAATTTATAAATATCATAGTACTATTTTATAATAAACAATTAGTAATGTGTTT